ACACACACACACGGAGAGAGGGAGAGAGAGAGAGAGAGTCAATGAACCTGCGAACCGTGACAGTATGATTGACCCCTGCTGGCATTATGTCATTTGTAGTGGTGTCCAAAACCATAGTAGACATTATCAAGTACACTCATTAAATCCCATAATGCTCCACATTAACGAATGTACAATCGATGTACACTCAACAGCTGGAGAAGGGTTGAATGAATTCCCACGTCTCGCCAGAATGAATCATCCATCCATCCATTTTCCAAACTGCTTGTCCAATGTGGATACAGCGTAATATCATACAGGTACACATTTCTTTTTAATTGATTATTAAAACGTTTATTTAAGGTTTATACATGCTCGTTTCCATGACAGATTTAAAGATAAATTTAAGTTTCAAATGATTATTAAACAGGATGCACAAACTACACAAAAGTGGTAGCACCTCCGTGCACTTATTGTCTGAATTCTCTCACTCGTTTTCATTCACTCCTTCAACTGAACTATATTAGTGGACTAATGTAGGGAAGGTGAATGCAGGGGCGGACTTAACATTAGCCAAAGGTCGGCGACTGCCTTGGGCCCCCAAAAGCCAAGGGCCCCCTAAAATGCTTTTCATAGCTATACGAGATGCGCATTAAGCGCGGACACACGAACGGTTGTTGTTTACGGAGTTTATAACAGCCTGCGTGTCTGCGCTGAACGTGCTTCTTGTGTATCCTGCTTGTAGCAAATGAAAATATCATATGCATCTAAAGCTGTAATTAAATATTGAGCAACAGTGCGTATTATGTTTATTGTTTTAAATGCCGCATACTCATTTATGAGAAGGACCCAAGTAGAGAACACATGCGCAGTTACTTTTTTGGTTGATACAATCCTTAGGTGTGTAAATGTATAATTTCCTTTTCAGTATTTGTTTCAGTTTCATTTAAATTTGTAGTTAAAATAAAACTAAATAAATATATATTCAAGTTTAGAATTAGACAGCCTTTGGAGAGCCCAGGCACATAGGCTTACGCTGGTAACTTATCGGTGGATAAGGTGTCAGATATATATACGTCAATATAGGTGTCAGACTCTGGTCCGTGTTTTGTGTGTGTTTTGCTCCTCATGTGCTTTTCTGTGTTTCCTTATTTGGTCATTTTTCTGTCCTTGTTTAGTTTAATTATGATTCCGTTCAGCTGTGTTCTATTAATTACCTTTGTATTTAAGTTCCTGCCTGTTCAGTTTGCCTTTTGTCTGGTCTACTCGTTACGTGGATGTGTTTCCTGCTGTTTCCTGTGTTTATGTACCCTGTTTTCCATGGATTAAAGACTGTTTCGTATATTCCTCGTCGCCTCGCTCCTTAGTTCCGGTTATCCTCGTGTGTGTGTCGTGACAGAAGACCAGACTGAGACAGTAAGCAGCGCCCCTTCTCCCGTGTTTTTATTTCCGTTTTTTGTCATCTTTTGTTTTCCCTTTTCTTCTCCCCGCGGTATGAGGACCGACCCACTGCCCAAGGACACGGAGGGCTCCTGTTCCCCAGTTAAGCTCAGGGAGGGCTCCAGATCCCCAGTTAAGCCCAGGGAGGGCTCCAGATCCTCAGTTAAGCCCTTAATTACCCTTGTATTTAAGTTCCTGCCTGTTCAGTTTCCCTTTTGTCTGGTCTACTCGTTACGTGGATGTGTTTCCTGCTGTCTCCTGTGTTTATGTACCCTGTGTTCCATGGATTAAAGACTGTTTCGTATACGTCGCCTCGCTCCTTAGTTCTGGTTATTCTCGTGTGTGTCGTGACAATAGGTAAGTTCATATAAAATATCTGAATTTTTTCACACTTTTCATTCTCACTAATTCAAGTTTTTATATTAATGAATCTCTGTAGGGAACCGACTGTCTTCAGAAACATTTTTAAGCCATTTTCATATTAACTGATAAAGCAGCATTTATGAGCTTTTCTATATAGCCGTTACCGGGGAAACCGCTATGTTTGTGATGTTCCAAAAGCACCTCCTGCTGGCAGAGAATGAATGTTCATTTTCAGTAATCCAGTCTGTAGTTTTTGTTTAGACCAATGCGAAAATCCACCCACATAACCCCGTTTTAAATAAATATAATACTTTATACTTCTGACTCATTCCTTTTCTTAAAAAAAGGTTTAAAGGCTCAATGGTGAGGTTTATCATTTTATAATTTATTTAGTTTTTTTGTGAAAACCTGTATCTCAACTGTAAATCAATTGCACACTATAAAAAAAGATGGTTATTTTTCAGCTTTGTTCAGTTGAGGATACTTCTCTCCTCTTCTCTACTAAGTAGTATATTAAATGTATAATCCATATTGTTAAGATTTTAAATTATTACTTGCATAAACTCAGACAAACAAACAAACAAACATAAAAGAAACTTTAAAGCTATTATTTTTTTACATTTTACATTACATTTTCCTTTTAACATTGCGAATGGCTCAAAGTGCTTTTGGCTTTCAGAAACATAACTGCTTTTACATTTACATTTATTATTTAGCAGACGCTTTTATCCAAAATTACTTACAAATGAGGAGAACAACAGAAGACCAACAAGAGAGCAACAGTATACAAGTGCTGTGACAAATTCTCAGTTAGTCTAGAATAGTACACAAGGTATTTTTTTTTAAATATATATATATATATATATAAATTAGAAAAACAAATAGAATAAAATAGAATAGGTAAGTACTAATATTAATTGGTCAGGTGCTGACAAAAAAGATGTGCCTTTAGACATTTTTTGAAAATGGTTAAAGACACAGCTGCTCAAATTGAGATAGGTAAGTCGATCCACCAGCTGGAAACGGTTTACTCAAATGGAAGAAACCAAACAGATACTCAGTACTTTTTGGTATTGAAATACTTTTTGGTATTTAAGGAATCACATTTAAACTTGACATTCTTATTTTTATTTCTTCTTTTACATATTCTTATACATATTATACATATTTTCAGGTATTTTTTTAAAAACTCAAATTAACTTTACATGGCCATAGTTATAATATTATGGGGGGGGGGGGGTATGTGCGCTTCAGTACTGAATAATATGAACTCTGCTTTATGAACTCAAACACAATTTGCATTTTAATACAGGTATATTTGGTATAAATGGTTTCTATACCCAAACATCACAGTTTTTTGGCTTTTACACAGAATCTCACAATATATTTTAGGTACATCATTAGACAATAACGTATTACATCAATAAAAACATAATTTAAATATGTATTCCACCAAAAGTTCAATCCTGAATTCCTTTGATATCTATTTTATTATTTGTGTATATATTTATGTATGTACATTTCTATGCGCTCTATGCTTGTGATTTGAGACACCGCAGCGTGTGAACAAGACTTTTATTTTGGTATGGCGATGTGACGTCATGAGGCTGCGTCTGTTGTGCTTTGGCTGAAGAAAGGTTTGCGTTTTAAGCAATTAAGGTGTTTAAATCTATACAGACCGTTCAGTTATTTTTTTGTATATTTTATAGTAAATTATAGTAATTTATTATTAGGTGCTTTATCTATCATTAATTTTGTTTTTGTGCGTCCGCGTATGAGTAACGGAAAGGTGCGTCTCATTTTGCTCTCTATATTTTGAATCAGGTCGTCGTGAACACGATTTCGGTCACTGGCAAGAAGTGATGGAGAAATAGATGTTTTTCGGCATTTGAAATGAATGATTCACTGTCTCGACGCGCTCGAATCACCACACGGTTACATTTACATTAACGTTACATTTAGTCATTTAGCAGACGCTTTTATCCAAAGCGACTTACAAATGAGGACAATGGAAGCAATCAAAATCAACAAAAGAGCAATGATATGCAAGTGCTATAACAAGTCTCAGTTTGCTTAATGCAGTACACGTAGCTTTTTTTTATTATGTAATAAATAAAAAGAAAACAGATAGAATAGAAAAAGATTAGAGCAAGCTAGTGTTAGAGACCTTTTTTTGCTTTTGGTAATTGTATAATAAATAAAAAGAAAACAAATAGATATAATACAACAAGATTAGAGAAGCTAGTGTTAGTTTTTTTGTTTTTAAAGAAAACAAGCAGGTAAATGAATAGAGTGCAAGTCTAAAAGGGGCAAGTTTTTTTTTTTATATAAAGAATAGAATTAGAATAGAGAGTGCTAGAGTTAGAGGGTCAAATAAAGATGGAAGAGATGTGTTTTTAGCCGATTCTTGAAGATGGCTAAGGACTCAGCTGCTCGTTGACATAATGTACCGTTTAATGCTCGGTAGCCAGTGCAAATTGAACCCGATCTCATGAAAGTGCGTATAAATAGTACGCCAAATAAAAACGAAAACTCGTGGTATTGATACGCAAAAATGGACTTTGGCGTGTATATGCTACGCGATGGGTAGGTTTAGGGTTGTGGGTTAGATGCGTATCATATGTACGCCAACAAATTTCGTATCTTATGCACGCGAAAACTGCGTATTATATGCACGCCAAACACATGTGTATCATATGCACGCCAAAGTCCATTTTTGCGTATCAATACCACGAGTTTTCATTTTTATTTGGCGTACTATTTATACGCATTTTCATGAGACCGGGCTCGCAAATTGATAAACCGGTGTGACGTATATTCTTTTCGGCTCATTAAAAATGTATCTTGCTGCTGCGTTCTGGATTAATTGTAAAGGTTTGATAAAATCGGAGGGAAGACCTGTTGACGACACGTTGTTCCAAAAGTGTAAATGCACAATGCAGTGAGCACACAAATGTGTATGATGGCAACTTTTACAGATCAATAAAAAAAAAAAGTTCATAAAAGTGTGATTTATTAAGTATAATCTATTAACCAATAAATATCATGCCATGTAATAAATAAGACGTACCTTTCTGTTTATTATTCTAATCTTAAACAAAAATTGCCAAAACACGCAGAAAATACTCCTGATGAAGCAAATGAGATCCATGTGACTTTTTAAAGATGGCGTTTATTAAAGAGGAGAGTGAAGACGTGAGGATTGAAGAAGCATTCAGAGTGAAACAAGAAGATGTTGAGGAACAAACAGGTTGGTTTCTATTCTCAAAAGTTAATTTAGTCATATCTTATTAAAATGTTGGAATTTATTAAAGAGACGTGTGAAGACATGAAAATGTTGGAACTGATTAAAGTGGAGTGTGAAGACCTGAGGACTGAAGAAGCATTCAGAGTGAAAAAAGAAGATACTGAGGAATACACAGGTTGGTTTCCATTCTCATTTATATCTTATTAAAATGTTGCCCTCTACAGAAATTTTAATTGATATTGATATGATACTAAATTTATATTTTTGAAGAATGTCATATAAGTGGCCTAACAGATCATTCAATGTAGTGGTCACCATAATTTAGGGCACACCCTGGAGCACACAGTGACAACAAACAGAACAAACCACAGATAAAAAGCTGATCAGTTTATATTTTTTACAACTGCTAACTTATATATAAATCTCTTAAAGTCCCCCTGTAGTGAAAATCAAGTTTATGTTGTTTATTTGTCTATGTGGTGTTTTTAATATGCTTTTAGACAAACTATGTGCCAATCTATTAATCAACACCATTGCTGAGTATATTCTCCTTAAAACTGTAGTTTCCCAATGGCAGTCCCAGAAATGCGGTTTGAAACGGCCCTCGGTTTGCTACGTCACAATCCAATAACCAATCGTCTCTAAATCTATGTCAGTTGCGGTTGCTTCCGGGCGAGCGGATTCTCCGCAGCTTTCTTGCCTCCGGTCTATTGCTATGACTCTTCAGGATTATAGCGTGTTCTCAGTGATTTGCTGGTCTGCGGGAGATTTCATGCGCGAGGTAAGCTGTCCGCAAAGCGCTCGCCCAAGTGGAAAAATGTGCTGTTGCTGTCAGATCTTGATTGCCGAAACTTTACTAAATCATATGAAAAAAAAAAAGACATAACTGTATATTTTCTGTATACTTGTGTCGCTTACAATTAAAGTCCTTTTCTGATTTTATTGTTGTTTGCAACATTACTTGGCAATATCTTAAAGATATTATTATTATTATTTTCGTATTTTGCATGGTCTATTATTGGAGTAGTGTCACCCGGGTGGGAGTTTGAACTCCTATTCACTGGGTATAAAAATAAATGAACAAAAAAAAATCATTCAGTCAATGCAGACATATAGAGCGGGGGAATCCCCCATCTCTTTTTTTTTTTTCTTTCTTCTCTCTGGTCCTCGAATCTGATTGGCTCAGAGCCTTTTCCAGGAGTACAATTTTCTGGTGATAACAGATCTCCAACCATTTCACTATTTGTATCGCTCCGCTTGCAGCATTTCTCACAGACAGTGTCATGGCGGATGCCCAAATCCACTATTAATTTAATAAATAATACTGTTTTTGTTTCACAGAATGTAGTTTTAAGAGTTTTTTTAGGCGAGAATGTAATTGTTTAGACTTCAAATGTGCAGTTTGTTAATGAAGATAACATCTATTTGAAAATTTGCTTCGTTGTTTTCGGAGATGTGAGCTCCAGGGCGTCAGTGGCTGTTCAGTGCTAATGAACTCACTGAGAGCAGCCTTACCTTGGCCAGTTCTTACCTCACTGGCTCTGATGTCTCTATAGTGGTTAAACATGAGATATAATTCATTTTGGGTAAATTAGGGTTGGGCGATGTCTTCCAAATTGGCATCGGACGATGTCTACAGTGAAACATTGTGATGGACGATGACATCGGGGGGCAGGGTTAGGGGGTGTGCCCGAAGCGTGAATCCGTATGCAGAAAGGCACGGAAAACAAATAACGCATTCTATGGAGCCACTAAAGGGTCATGGTTAGCTGCTTGCTATAGCGGTAGACTGTTACATTATAGTACATGAAAGTTCACTTACCACATACACAGAGTAAGGAGAGATGACTGATAGGACAATGGCGAATGATTTGCAGATACTGAGCACCACTGACAAATATCTAATCTTGTAAAATGTGTGGTAGCGGCAGTACTGGTCCGTAATATAGAGTGTGATCGCAAATCTCGAAAGTAAAATGAGAGCGCGCATTCGAAAGCGGTTTCAATGCCCTGCATATTAGTAGCGGCGCCCTGATGCCCGCAATTTATATACAGTATAATTACCCAACGATATAATTGCGAGAGAAAGTATTGAAATATTTTTTTATCCTCCCATCTCGTAGGCTATTTATTCCCTTTTGGGGTTCTGTATACACTTAATTTACTTTCCGAACACGGAATTGGGATGTGGCGGATTGTGGGAGGTATGGGGAGGCGGGGTCACGATGCCGGCTCAACATCATGATGTCTGTCAGCCATCGGCGATGGACGATGGCATCGTCTATCGGTCCAACCCTAGGGTAAATCTAATGGGCAGTCTTTGATCTCATTAATCTATTATTTGTTGCAGAGCAAATAGTTTTGGCTGAGGGCAAAATCTCATAACGTTTGTATTTTATATAAATTAAGTGCTGTATCAGAGTGCTGCCTTTGTACTTTTGACTGAATTGTCTTGCAACTTTTATGATGGCTGTTGTTGTTATGAAATATTATTATTCAATAAATAATAGTAGTATTTAATCATAGTATTTAGTATTGGGAAAAGGTGTGTGTGTGTTTGTCGTGGTGATTAGTTACATTGTTCCGCCATTAGATGCCGACAAGACACTCTTTTTGTGAGTGAGTCAGCAATAAAGACTTTTGTATTGAAAGACTGAAACAGGGTTGTAAACAAGGAAGTTATTTTAGGTATAAGATGACAGTGATCAGAGAGCCCTACAGCTGCACATGGGACAGAGTGATAGGCATTCTTTATTGTGGCGTAACAGTGGTCCAGTGTATTACTGTCTCTGGTGAGATAGGTAACATGCTGGAGTAGGGCTGGGCGATAAATCGATAACGATAATTATCGCGCGGTATAAATTTCCTCGATAAACGATAACAAGAGGTCGATAAATTTTCGATAATGTTTATGAGGCAAAGATGGAACGAAAGAGCGCAAACTCGTTTGAAGCGCGTTACTCGGACCGTTTATCCGCTCTGACCAAAGTTTAAACGGCGGCGCGGCATGAGCTTCACTATAGCAGATGCGTTACTCGCTGATGATGAGTCTCGATCAAACGGTGCTGTGAGATCCAGTGTGAAGCGCTTGCATTCAGCAAAGGACACAAATAACTCTGTTTACAGCCAGATGAAACAGCGCTGACAAATAGGAGAAACACTTGTGCGCAACGATACAGTTAGAAGACTTTTTAATCTACAAATTGCCATAATTTACCATAGATTTACTGTAGTAGCACTAACTGCACCATGGTATTGTGTCAGAAATGTGGGTATTTGTGTCGAATTTATATTATTAATGTAGACATGTTTTATGGAAATATAATTACAGTATTTTTTGTGATTAAGCTATAGCGTTTATGCATTTATACTAAATTTATTTAGACTAGCTACTGTTTTTCATACAGATACCTAAAAACCATATTACATTTTTACCATGGTATTGAGGTGCTATATTTGTGTTTTTTTTTTAACTGTGATTATCATGATCTAAATGTATGCTACTATGGAAGAATTTTTTTTTTTAAATCAAACAGTCAGAATAATTAAATTTCACCATATAAAAATGAGGTTGCTACAATACTTACAGATATTACTGATTTTGATAATAAACATAAATCTACATCTGCATCCTAACTTAAGCTACTATTAAATGTGTATTCTTAAGAGACAAAAATTGTTATATTATCATTAATATTATCAGGCAACACAAACCTGTTTCTTGATTTGAAACAATATTACTAATTAGAATGTGCAGAACTAAGAAATAATTTTTTTCTATTAAGATATTTATTTTAAGGAAAAATTACTGGAAAAGTGTAAAGAATTCAAAAATGTGAAGTGTTTGTCGTGTTCTGACCATAAAGAATAGTTTAAAACCACAATTAACTGTCTGGTTTTTACAACTTCCACATTGGAGCAAAAATCTGCCTTTAAACTTTGACATTTGTCGTGATAATTATCGATATCAACTGATATGAAAAAACATTATCGTGATAATTTTTTGGCCATATCGCCCAGCCCTATGCTGGAGGGATGTTAATATTAACAAGAATGAATGAGGAAAGTAGTAGGCGAGTAGAAAAAATCGGTATTGGCCAATAAAAGCAATTATTTGCACTTGACTGTGGCGAGGGGGGCGTGGTTCAGCGAGGTCTGCAGCGGGAGAGAGAGTTGGGAGACAAGCGGTGAGTAAGTGGGTCAAATGCAAATGACGAACACCTGTGTCTGGTTCCAGTAATTGGCGTGGAGAGACCGCATAAAGAGGCCCAGGAAAGAGCTGTGAGGGAGGGAGAGACCGACTGCTGACTGGGGAGAGACTGTGCCTGCTCTGGAGAGCCCTGCGATTGTGCATGTGGAATTGTGCAATATTGAGCGCTGGTAGCGTGACGTTCTGTTTTACTTTGTTTGAAGCTGAATAAAAACCCCAGCAGCAGTCAAGCCGACCCCGTCCTCTTCCTTCTCAAGACATTGACATTGTTACACTGGTGCCGAAACCCGGGAAGGAAGCAGGAGAGCCGCCGCCGTCATGCAAACTCCGACAAGTACGCCATTTGCGGATGCCATTTCATCCCTCGCGGTCCTCCATCAAGAGCAACATCAAGCGTTACTGGACATGCGGACTGATCAGGAGCGACGCTTCCAGGTCATCGTCCAGGCGCAACAGGAGGACCGCGAGAGGTTCCGGAGCTGGATGGACCGGGAGGTTCGGGCAGAAGCCGCCACGCAGCAGACCCCGGGTCCCCACCTGCCACTGAACAAGATGGGGCATCAGGATGACCCCGAAGCCTTCCTGGATCTGTTCGAGAAAACAGCGGAAGCCGGTGGGTGGCCACGAGAGCAATGGCCGGTGCGCCTGATACCCCTATTATCGGGGGAAGCGCAGGTGGCTGCTCAGCAACTGCCCGTGCGGAACCTCCTGGTCTTTGACGATCTCAAAAGGGCCATCATCCAGCGGGTCGGCCGAAGCCCGGAGCAACATCGCCAGCGATTCCGTTCGCTGGACCTGGGCGAGAGCGGCCGACCCTTCGTGCTGGCCCAATGGCTCATGTCGCAAGTGGCTACTGGCTGAGGGAAGCGACGTCAAGCACATCATCGACCGGGTGGTACTGGAGCAGTTCATCACTCGGCTGCCAAAGAAGACGGCAGAGTGGGTCCAGTGCCACCGACCGACGT